CCAAATAAATGTTTGAGATTGGCACATTTTTGCAACTAAATTTACATAATCGATCGAATTACGAAATTTATTATCCCAAACTGAACATCTCCTTTTCTCATACCAAGACTCTAGCACTATGTTAATGCATATATATGACTGTGTAACTCCGACCACCGACTGAAGGAGTGTTGATTCAACCTCTCCGTCCTCAGCCTTAATCCCTGGGAACAGTGTCCCTTTCATTACTTTTGTAAACATGAGAAAGTGAATCTTCCATCTTGCTTTAATAGATTCCTATTGCACCTTAAGAACATCGATTATCATTAAGCCACTGCCACTTTGTACTATTATTTTAATACCCTGGTAAAAGTTATGTTGTATGTCGCGCATAAATGCACGCAAAATTGGTATCGACTCAAAATTTGCTTCTAAAAACTATCCAAGTATAGGCTGCCAACTGCTAATTTTAGGGCTACTGAGATTCCGTCAATTAATTTTTTGGCTGAAATGAGAAAAATCATTAACTGTTAATTTAATGTTATTCAGTTGTATGCACAATGACGCAATCCACTCGAATGTCCAACATTAAATGGTGTCAAACCCAAATCTCCTTTCGCGTTTTTGTTGAGTATTTTCTGGTACGTCGATGGCTATTCTAAGCTTTTAAATACTACAGTTTGTTTAGAATTCGCGTTGAGGTTACTTTAATTGAAATTAACACGAAATCAGCATAACAATATAATCCAATAGTCCTTTTTACCACCCGTGACTTTACCGCTAACCGAGTGTAATTATACCCACTTTTTAAGAAGAAAGTTTGAAGTCACACAGTTGTGTCTACTTAGGTACACCTTTGATTAAATTTATCTGCGCAGAATTTCGACTCCTGTGAGTCAGTACTTGATTAATGAGTTCGCCTCTCCCTCTCCACTTTCCCCGATTCCTTGCTTTAATTCTATCAACTTAGTCCATTCCCCGCTAGCCCCTCCACCATCTGCTACTGCTACCATTACCGCTGTCTTTTCCACAGTGAGTTACTCTAATGAGAATCCAATTACCCTTTCCTACCCCATTTTCTCCTTTCCCTCTCCCCTCCCTCTGCCTCCACAAATGCCTCCCCCAACTCCTCACTCTGTCCTTACCGAGTTAGCTGTTATCGGGAGTGGTAATCACCTATCCAAGCCCAAACCCTCCCCCCAAACACCCTTGTGCTTGCAGTGCGTGTGCGCGCGCGTGCGTTCGTATGTCCGACCGACAGCGTGAGTTAATCTCAGGTGAGGCAGTTAATCCAAATGCAGTTCGACAGCTGCTTTAATAAAAAATCAATAAGATTTGCCTTATAATGTTTAAAAGCACCGACGAAGAAACTGTCCTCATGGTAATATGTGTGATTTCAACGTTTGATGTAGAAGAAGCAAAACATTCACAAATGTTAAGACCTTGCTGAAAATACTGTCGAGGGTCTTGCGCATTGCTTGTACTAACTCATTCAAATCAGACAAATCAACTCCTAATGTGCAAAACATTCTATCTAGAATTTTGGCAAAAAAATACAAAAATAAAATCGAGTTTCTTGAATCGTGAGTATCCATCATTGGACTCGCGTGTTTATGTAAAATAATCCATTTATTATATTATATTAACGCAATTTGTCTTAATAATTGGTGCTGAAACTTCTGCATTCCTGAGAAGTCTGCATTTACGTTCAAAGTAAATGGATTATATCTGAGTTTAATTAGCACATTTGAAAAGCCCGCCTTCTGTGATGCAAATTAACGTTAACCGCGCGTCCGCTGGTATGCACCAATGAGCAGTCAAGATGGCTCGCGCAATGGAGCGGTTCGTCCAATCATGAGCATGCATTTCTTACTCGCTGTGTGTGTGCGTGCGTGCATGTGACTCGCAATCGAAACAATCTACACACTCAGAATGTCGGCATATACGCCTGGAGATCTCGCTTCATCCAACTACCGTCAGCATGAAGAAGCTCCTCCTGGTCAGCCAAAATACATGGCCACGATCTTTCAGTCAATGAAGTCCTTTATTCACTCTCAGGTTGAAGCTCATCGCAATGGCATTGCGCGCAATCTCCATGAGGTCGTTCAGATTGCTCAAGACATCCTCCGAGAGGTGGAACTTCAAGAACCACGCTTTATAAATACCTTAAAGACTACTGTTGACGGTGGTAGAGGCAATAATGGCGTAAGCAGTGGTCTTGCCCAGAAATATGGCCTTGAAATGGATCTCTACGAGGGTCTGCGCGTTAGTTCTTCAACTGAATTTGAAGTAATTCTTTTTCTCAATCAGATGGGTGTCTTCAACTTCGTTGATGATGGCAGTGTCCCAGGAGGAGCTGTTCTTAAACTATCCGATGGACGAAAACGGAGCATGTCACTATGGGTGGAATTTATCACAGCCTCGGGTTATCTTTCAGCCCGTAAAATCCGAGCTCGATTTCACAGCCTTGTGGCTCAAGCGATTGAGAAGTCTGCCTACCGTGGGATTCTCCAACTCGTCAGTGGAACAAATAGTGAAGTGAAGATTCGCGTTCGCGACCGATACACGCTTCAAATTACACCAGCCTTTCGTTGTCAAGGTCTGTGGCCACGTTCGGCCAACCATTGGCCCTCCACAGCATCTACTGGATGGTTAGTATGGCCCTGTCCGCGTCTTGCCACTGAGGTAAAACACGAAGGCTTTACACTTTTAAGTCAAGAGTCTGCATTTGCCAGATCGGATAAACAGCAACAAGCATCAGCTGAAGGGGACGCTTGGCAGCTTGATTTCTACGAGGCGGAAGAGCGCCTCCTAAGTCAAGGTTCCCGCCAATTATGCTTAAGCATTCTCACAACATTATTAGAGCGTCATCTGGTCCTCAACGAAACACGAATGCTGCACGACTACTTGATAAAGACCCTTCTGCTACACGAATGCGAGAAACATCCACGGGAGGATGAATGGAATGAATATGCCCTGCCAGATCGTATTAATGGAATTTTATTACAGCTCATCTCCTGCCTTCAACATCGGCACTGTCCACACTACTTTTTACCACAATTAGATCTCTTCGCACAACACTCTGCTCCAATGCTAGAGTTGGCAGCTCGACGATGTTGGACGCTCCTTCGAAGTCTCATCACCTGTCCAACGGCATTCCAGAGACTGTAAATAACCTTTTAATGTTGTTCAGCGTAGAGCCTCTAGATCAAATAGACCTTCCTTTTAGAAGAATCTCCAATCTAAGGGTGCATCATGTACAAATTAAACTATCCAAAAATATTCTTCTACATACCTTTAATCTCTTGTCATTAGATTGTGAAGGAATTTGTTTGGTGGTGTAAAAACCATAGTAAAACATCTATCCTTGCCACTTTATAATATTTCTTCTATTTATTGCTTTGTGAAATAGTTTTTATTTGGTTAACCCTAGCCCCCACGTCCTGTTGTCCTTCCCTTCTTCCCTCCTTTCCGCTCCACTGGTCGATAAATCCCTGCCTTGAGAGGTTCGTTTTCCACTTTTGGCGACATAACTGGGACGTTAGTCAAGCTACGGAAGTCTGAATATTCGGAGACTACAGGGACAACAGTTGTTCCATAATTTTTTTCTCCTCCAAACCTCTCACAAAAGCGTTTGTCGACCAAGATGGCGATTCTTTATTT